GTGGTTAGCGTGTCAAGCTACCGTCCTGCACTGTCGCGGTTCGAATCCCGCTGAGGGTGCTGATAAGACCTGAAGGTGCTTTGATACTCGTCATGGCAGAATAACGGTACATTCTAGACAGCCTTTCATAAACGATGTTAAACCCTTGAAGGGCAGTCTGGATTCTGAGAGAATTGGCTCAATCACAAATCAAAAATAGAGATAAGTAAATTGGCAAATTCCGAATTTGTCAGAAAGTTTGACTTATTTTTCGAGGCATCGAGAAAGCTGTTTATATTTTCGTCCATCTTTCCCCTATTTTATCTCCAAGGCAGTCCTCCTTAAGTGTCATTTATATGAAGTATGCATGTAGAGGCATCAGGTGAGGCAAACCGGAATACCTAAGTGTCCTAGCAACACCTTGGATTCAAATAGCTAGGGCTCTTTGGTCAGAATACAAGCATGAGTTTAAACAAGTCGGCTGCAGCGTTTCACCTTTACAAGCGAGTCATTTGACTCAGTTTGAGAGTCTTTGTCAGCACCGTCATGGTTACCAAGTTCGCCAGGCAGGTGTGGAGAGATTCTGATGATCGAGTCATCCGATTTTATGATGCCGACCTGACGAGCTACAGCCAGGGCTGTTTTAAGATCGTCACCTGCGAGAAACGATGAACAGAAAGAGGCATTTAGCAAGGTTGTCGCCCGAAATGAGGAAAATAACAAAAGCAATAACCATATTTTTCGGTTAGCTACATAACAAAATGCTGGTCAAGATTTTAGGAGTTTCTATGGCATGATATTGTTCAGACAAAACGTTCTGTCAATAAATGTTAGTTATTTAAGCAGACTAGATATACCTCATCTTTGCTATTGTAAAAAATAAAAATTCCTTTGTTTTGCGCCAACTAAAATGTAATCGTGTGATTCATATAAACTCTTAAAAGAATCTTGCCGTGGTACACTGGCTGAAATAACGCAAAACAAAGTAAAAATCGTTAGCAATTCATCTATAAACAATGTTAAAATACATCCTAGCCCATGCGAGGTCACAAGCATATAGGAAGAATAACTGCTTCTCGATGAATCTCTTGAGGTAATATTGTTTTGAAGACAATCATTTCGTATGAAAGCTTTCTTGAAGTAGTGATTCTTCGAACCATTAGCAAGAATAAGTTCCAACTCTGACAATGTTTTTTATGCAGCTTGGCTGGAAAGTTTAGCAGATTTTTACCCGAGAGAGAATATCCCGTTAACTGTGTCAACTTGGACTCTGTATTAGTCATACTGAAGCAAAACGAGTCTTAGACAACTTCTCCTTGTGAGATCGAGCTCATGCATTTTCATACGAAATAAAAGTCTTCCCAGCAAAATCACATTCATACATATATTGAGCTCTTAAAAAGCAAGAGTAGGATAATAATAAAAAGTATATTTTATTTAAGGCGTGCACAGACTAAGCGACTTCAGAACCTACTACTCTTTGCATCAAGTAATGTAGACCCTATAATCGTGAGTTACTCGATATTTTGTGAGTCGGTTTCCGACAGATTAATGAAATGTGAATCTATACCCAAACATACATACAATCAGCTTTATTACAGCACACGTGTCTTCGACCTATTTTCCATTACTTTTTATCATCTTAGCAGCAATAAAATAGATTGAATTCACGACTCCACAGTTGTCTTAGGCAAATGTTCGGCATGCAGATCATTTAGATTTATTTAAGATTCAACATGAAACACACATTTACCTTTTAGTTGGCGCAAAACAAGGGAATTTTTAGTTTCATCACTATCGTACCCGAAGTGTATCGAGTCTGGTTAAATAACTGGCATTTATTGACCAAACGCTCAGTTTGAACGGTATCATGCCATAGAAACTCATAAAAGCTTGACCAGTGTATTTGTGTGTGGTATGATAACTCGACTTCAGGACAATTAAATTGTTCATTTTACGAGCTTGTCAGGCGATATATGAATGTAGTTCTGGAGGTAATTTTGAAACTGACATCAAAATGGACTTCTTGTTAGTTGTTCAGTTCTTGTCATAATTGCGGTTTCAGCCGGAAGGTTTAGAAGCGGAAACTATGAACTATCTCTTAGACATTAGGCAAATACCAACAGTAGAGCTGCATGATGGAGCAAACAAGAAATGTATGAAAAGCTGTAATTTTTTTTGTAAATTCAACGTCTTTCTGCTTCGTTTTATTATGACAATGTCAGTAAGCTCTAATAATACCATTTTGGGGTTTATATTTAGTTAAATATACGGAAAGTTGAAACATTTTGTCGCCATCATCGTCTTGGTAACTAAAACA